ACAAAAATCAGAGTCACAGAACAAGGATTTGGATCTTATTTCCCATTGTGTAAAAGTCAGTTGCTAAAATTCCCAGTCAACAGGTAATCTTTGCAGTGTAGGCGAATCCTCCAAGAGCATCACAAGGGCTCTTGTCCTGTTACTTCACCAATTCATTCACAAAAAATTGCAAAACAAATTACATTTAGGACAAAGTCGACACCAATAAAAATGTCGGAAACAGCATTTCATAAATAATTGGCAGACAGGATTTCTAAGAGTATTCATTTTAGGATATTACACCTTTGTAAATAGCAAGCATTTTATCTGGTACTGTTTTCCCCTGTAGGAATCAAGGCTGATGAAACAACGGAGAGAATTCCTTATGTTTTATCTGGTACTGTTTTCCCCTGTAGGAACCAAGGTTGATGGAACAACAGAGAGAATTCCTTACGTAAATTACAATATATTAAGTCAGATTTGCTTTTAGCAGGTTCTTTGCCTTCAGAAACTGCTCCAGGCTTTGCATGTTCGTTGAGTAGCCATAAACTGGGAAAACCTACAATCTTTCCTTTTTTTCTTCATTTCCTCCTTTTAGCTCTATAGGAGATGAGGGAAGCAAAATTTTCTAAAGGAGACCATGAAAAGAGTTTAAAAACATTCCACTTATTTTCTCTGCATAAACATGCTGTGAATTCTGAATATAAATAGTGCCAGGGCACTGTCACTCAGACCCCAGGAGTTCACCCAAGTTAGACAAATTATGCTGCCCGTTATCTCAGTTGTTACAGTTTCTTGCCTTCCATTCATTCATTGCCAGTGGCTGGATTTTATGTCAGTGTAGGGGAGAGAAGCAGCATCAATTGCTGAAGTTAACCTCTTGTGGCAAGACCAGTCATACTGGGCTTTCCAGTGGGGAATGCACAAGGAGATAGCTGCTAGTCTTCTTTGCCAAGGCAGCAGTCAAAAGAATGCTGAAACTTGGCAGCTATGAGCAAATCTGCAGTGTTTAGCCTACATCACTAAAACAATGTAATTCACAAAAAAAAAATAATGTACATATCCTATCAAAAACTACACAAAGTAGAGCTGTGGTTTGAGCAGAGGATGGCAGTGCTGTGCAAACCTGCCTGGCAGAGGGCAGCGGCCATTGCTTCAAACATCATATCCAGACTACAATCAATATTAACCTTCAACTATATCAGCAATCTCTCCATTTTCATCAAGCCTCATTTCCTCCCTGATAAAGAGCCACTTATTACAAGGGAATGCAGGATGTGATGAAGGGATTCATTGCGGAATGTCCTTTGATAGCCACATCGGCCCTGGTAGGGACGTACCTGCCCCATACACTGGGTATTGTCTAACAGTAAAGTCCCTTTGGCTCCCAGAGCCTGTGCCTGCAAAGCACAGAGCCTGGCCACTGCCAGCTGGCCACAGCCCTGTCCTGCAAGTGCGTTACACCAATCCCTCCTGCCTGACCCACGGTGATTTCTTAGGCACCAGGATGTTTTATTTACGCAATATTTCCAAAGAAGGGAAAAGCTCTTACCTATTGTTCTTCGGAGATCTTCACACTGGCTAATATGAGGGAATTTCAATATTTCCTTCCACTTTTTGCTTTTGCCTTTGCGTTTCCCTCCACCCCCTGCAGAGAAAGAAATGACAGGATTAGATTGCTTTGTGGGCATAGCCCCACCCAGAGCCTGGTAGTTCAGTCACAGTTCTTATGGGCTTCATTAATAATTAAAGCTGAGACATTGTGGGTAGATGTATAGATCAAGTCTGAGCTTGTCTGGGCTGAAACACACAGAGCATGTGGCATCTGGCAGAAGATCAGCTTACTAAAAGTTGGGAGTTCAGCCTAGCAGGTCCAGTTCAGGTAAGAGTGCTGAACTGAGCATCTCCAACATCATCTCTGCCCCAACGGACAGCCATTTCACACAAGTCAAATAATCTTGTGAAATTACAGCTCACATCTCTTCCACTTGGATCTCCCCCTTCTGGTTTTGAGATGCATCCCGTCTGCATCCCAAAAGAAGTCCTGGAAACCAAAGATCAAAGCTGAATTCCCACCATCTACATTACATATAATGCCAACACGGCATTACCACCGATGCTCTGGTCACTGCTTATTCCACAGAATGAGAACAGTAGGAGAAAATTAATGCAATATTCTCATGAAAAGACAGTCTCTCTTTAGTTCTTTTCCATTCTCACTCTTCCCTGAGATTTCTTGAACTGGACTGTCCTTGAGGTGAACAACCTAGCTGGTTTTCTCCAGCTCTGGCAGGACCAGGTCCAAGATCCGCAACTCCTCCACACTGATGAATCTCCCTCATCAACATCCCTTCATAAATACCCTGCTGCAGGCATTGATGGCATCCCCAGGTACCACATCTGAGCTTATCCAGCCAAGCTACCTTCTCATGCTGTTACACTTTCATGCTGCCCGCACTTCCCTTGTCTCCCTTTCCCTTCACTCAACCTCCTCATCTCTTTTGCCCCTTCTCCCCTTCCTCTACTTTCTCAATTCTTTTTCCTCCTCCACTCCCTGGTGCTCCTTTCTGGTTCAAGTCAACAGTGCAGCAAAACCAAACGCGATTCACCTTCATCTACTTTTTTTTAAAAAGAACCTTCAAAACCTCCTAGCTTGGTTTGGACCTTTCTATTGCTGTTCCCAAATTCGAATGCCAAACATTCACATTCACCAGTGCAAAGATACTTTTCCCCACCCTTTAAAAACTTGTGATGGTTGCTTTCCCGCTTAAACAGCTCAGAACCCCAGCTGGCTCAGGACGGGGGACCTGGGCACTGACACAGCTGTCACCAGAGCACCACAGCTCTGAGGGTCTGTTTCTTGTCCACAGCTCCTTTCTTGCAAGGGACATGCCTTCTGCACTGGACTCCGACCAGTGAAGGTAGCGTTTCCAGCATACCTCACTTTGCTCCTTGCTGGGATCACTGGATGACACACTGCCTGCGGGGTTCAGCTCCCTCAGCCAGAGCAAACCTAATGCGGGCTGACATGCTGTGCGTGCTCTTCCCTGGCGTCTGCTCGATGGGCTAGATTTGAAGCAGCTCAGCCTAAAAGGACATTTCTAGATTTTTCATGTCTTTTCTTTTTCCTTTTATTCCCCCCCGTCATTCATTGGGCACTCTTTCACTCCAGTACCCACCTGGGTTTCTCTTTGATGCCCCCACATCTTTTATGTTGCTACATCGGTGTCACTGCAGAGGGCAGGAGGTGTGATGTAGTGCTGGGGGTTCGTTTGCACGTCCTGCTTGGTGAGGCCGTGCAGTTGAGGGAGAAAGAGTATCCCTCCAGACATGAAAGCCCAGACACAGACTGAGATTCTCCAAGCTGCTGTATTTACTGCAATTCAGTGTCTGCACACAAAATCTGATTCACTTGAGTCTATTTTACATGCGCTGGCACGTCGAATGACTAATACAGAGCTGAGTTAATTCTGTAGAGGGGCTGGTAGATTCACAATTGCAGATTGACGGTGTGTTGGGTACTACATGATACTGCAGACTAAATTAGGAGAGCATTGATTGACTCAAACGGTAGTAGACCGTTACAGAGAAAATATGAGCCTTGGAAAAATATTGCAAAGTATTCCTCTCTGTGGGGTGTTTCAGATCACACACCTTTAGTGCAGGGGTGCTCCTTCTGCATCTCACCTTTTATTTCTTTGCTTTTGATGGCCAATGGTTTTGGCATTGCAGAGCTTGCCTTGAGTTATTTTAAATGCTTTATTTGCAGGAACTTAGTGTGTGTATATATTACGCAATGTAGAGCAGAGATATCTGCACTAGCCATGAAGGAACTGGCTTGTTTAGACTATCAGGAGCACAGCTATGTTACCCTTTCCAGGAATTTGTCTCCAGCAAAGCAAAGAGAGCTGACACTACCTCCACACTGCATTGTATTATGCAATGCAGATGCGCCCTTTGGGTCTACAATGAATTCCCCTTCAACCTCCTCTCTTCAGTGCATCCCAAACACAGCTGCTAGTCATTTCTTCTTCTGTCCCTCCAGTCACAGTATCAGAGTCGTGATCTTACTCTCTTCTTGCGGCATACAACAGCTGGTCTTGCACGCTGAAGGTCTTAGGTATGCTACAAGGTGCTGAGAAGCATTTTGTGGGCTGGGGTGGGCACTGTGATGGTCCCCTCATCAACTCTCCTAGAGCTCTGCTGTGGTCACCTGTAACTTCAGAGGCTGCATTCAGCAACCCAAAGGGGACTCTGCTGGCTTTCACCTCCCCGAAAGCCCACTCCTGCAATCCTGCACAGCTGCTACCTCTACACATCCCTCTTGTCATTCTCTTCCAGGGGCCTTCCCACGCACTCCTTGGTGCTTCTGACCTTATGCCCCATCACACCACACTCACACTTCTCTGCCCCTTCCCTTCACACGCTCCTCTGGGAAACGATCGTTCCTCCAGGAATTCCCATTCCCTTCTCTCCACCAGCCATCCTCTTTGGCTGCATTTTCTTCCCCTAACTACTACTTTATGTTTTTCTTCACGCTCATTTATCTTGTAAACTTTGAGTTCTATGCCTTGATGTCAAACATCCATGGGAATTAAATCAATTAAGTATATATTTATTAGCACTGGGGGAGGGATGGAAAGGAAGGAGAGGGCAACAGGGGAGGGAAACAGCTGGGCTGTCTCTCCCACTGCAGAGACCCACGCTGCTCTTACTAAGGAGCAGAAAGAGAGGGGTGTTCTCAGGGGGGAGGCAGGATCTCTCTGCTTAAGGTATGAGCAGGCACTGGAGGCAGCACAAGAGCTGGAACAGTATTTCCAATTATTTCTGGATGCAGGAGGCAGTGGGAGTTACCCAGATGAAAGCATCCTAAAGGATGCATCTGCTCAACGCTGGTACATATTCAACCATGGAAGATCTACCCTCTAAGCCAAAGCTCTGGAGATTTCAGAGCACACCTGCTTCTCCAGACAGCTTTACTGAAGTCCTCACAAAATGGTTGCATCTTGAGCAGGATCCAGCCACGCAGAGCATTGCAAAATAGCCCTTCGCTCAAAATGACAGCTCTGAGATTTGTGCAGAGATGAAATGAGTCTCTGCTAAGCTGGGCCAGAACATTTTTAAAATCCATTTGATGTAAAACATATATTGATATATTTACATTGGGTGATGTATTTCCAACATTAAATTTCCATCAAAACTGGAGAAGGGCTCTGCAGTCCCCTGTTACAACCGTGATCGATACAGCCAGCGTGTTCTCTTCTCTTCTCTTTCGTGGCCATCCTCCAAAAATAAGCAGCCTTGCCTGATGAATCATTTGCTCTTAGCTGAGCGTGAAGCAGCGTTACTGTTCTGCCTGTGACGTCTTTATGTTAAAGATTCTGATCAAGTGCTTTAATCGACCTGACCTTTCCGCTCTCAGCTTTTCTTGTGGAGCCAGCAGTGTTTGTTGGCTCCAAATGTTAATTCCAGGGGGTTTGAAGGATGTAATGCAGTGAGACGGCGGAGACCGGGTAAATTGTCTAGCAGAGCTAAAAGCTAAAAGGGGAGGCTTCCCTGAATAGGTCAGTAATTGTGCAGGTTGCAAAGGGAAGCTTTTCACACATTGCCTTGATTGCTGCCTTTGCCCTGTCTATTCTGGATAGGAGGATCTGCAATCTTCTCATGGCAAGATCTGGCAGACCTGCCATGTTTTAGATGTGAGTTCCATCATGTGGGCTTGAAGGGCCTGACTGCTTTAAAATCTTGGTTTGCTGATGATGACAAAAGGTGAGCTCCCAGCAAGAGCATGAAATCTCAGCTCCCCTCCCTTGCATGCACTTAACAACTCAGCGTTTGCAAAATGAGGACTGAAGCTAATTCTTTAACATGTCAACCAGTCCTACAGGAAACAAAAGCATTTGCTCTACATCCTACCTACTGAAAAATACATGGCATTTTTCACATCATCTTGTGATGCCGGATGGCAAGTCTCGCTCTGATCTCTGCCTGCAAGGAGAGAGACATAACCAGAGGCAGACATGTAAAACATTTGTGAGCAGGAGCTACCCTTAGCCTACAGTGCCTACTTTTTTTTGCCTCCATTATTCAGGATATACTTAAATCTCTTAACATCAAGAGGAAGTAGGAAAGTACCTGCACTTTGTTAAGCCAGTGAGATGTTAAGTGGCTTGTGCAAAATGACATGAGAAATCAGAGATGGAGCAAGGAGCTGAAGCCAAGCCTCAAGCCCGCTAATCCTGCTAACGATGGGATCAAGCCATGCTCCTGCTCAGCTGATTGAAGATATTTCATACCGCAGAGTTAAACATAACGATGGGTGAATCCCTTCCAGCTGTAGCATATTCCAGGCATGCCTCATGCCACCATGCAAGTGGCTTTTAAGAGTGACTGTGCTGGCTTCATACTTTTGCTCTGTCCTTGCCCAAGCTGATAAGCCTGCATCACACCCCACGCTGCCAGGCCTGGCTAACCCAATATGGCCTAACACTTCATTGCCTTCAACTGCATTATCTGCAGTCTAGTTAATCCACAATTTAGGTAAACTATCCACAGATCACTGAAGGACAACTACAGTTTGTGTCTGCCATTTCGCAACAGTAGCTAGGCTCTCCTCCAAGTCCTTCCCAGCAAGAGTACAGAGCTCTGTATGCTCTGGTTGCAAGGCCTTGATTACACAGCACGTGAAAGCAGTGAAATAAACTCTAAAAAATACTAAAAGTTCAAAATCATGGTTAGTGTCCTACTTCTTCTCAGAAGAAGTTCCCATCTCCTCTTCCTCTTGCCTGCCTCTTGCTTTACTCACTCTCTGTGTGCAGAGGATGATCTTGGAAAGCTGTTTCTAAAATGTTAAAGGAAATTAATACCAACTTTGAACTGCTTATTTTCCTGAAGTGTCTTCTCCTAATGAGACAGCATGAATAAAGCTTACCAGCCCATCATCGTCCCCTAAGAATTTTTCATATCTAACTCATCTAGCCTTTCAGGCAAACAGTTCCACCATTCTTAGACCTGTTTCATGTGGAAGTTCACCCAGGTTCACCACTCTTCTTTCATATTAGTCCAACCTACACTCAGCCCTACTAGCAAATAAAAATGGTTTGTTTGTATTTGCAAGACATTGCTTGTTCTCTGCTTTTCACCCTGACCTTCTCATCTGGGAAAGCAGAAAAAAACCAAACAGGGATCTTGTTTTATCCTTACAAAATGTTAGATAATACTCCTGACTGATCTGTGCTTAAAACAAGCATTTACAAGACCATTAGGAACTTCTTTTCGAATCTCCTTCCATGTCACCCTAAGAAAAAGAATATGAAGGCTGGATTTTCAAAAGCAGGTAGATATCCACCACCCGCTGGTGGGCAATGCCTCTGCAAACCAGTCTTCAGCAGCTCTCATTCATAAGATATACCAAAAAGTCCACAACATGCCCTCAAAAGAGAATCATGTTCCACAGCTCCTCTTATCGACACAAAACTGTCTTTAGCTCTTGCAGCCACTTTTGATGAACGTGACTCTCTGAATAGTCACAGACTGTGATAAGAGTTTTGTGCCCATCTTCCCTGCTGTCATGGCATGTTTGCACATAAATCATCTGCATGTTGCTACAAACACATAAGCCTCACAAACACTGTCTAAAACTTCCCGTTGCTTTTTGGAAATGAACAGCAGATGTATTTCGTGTTTAAGCCTTCAGAACCACAGAGATGGGAATTTCATAAGCAAAAATGCAAGCTTCTCCCCAACAGAGTCAGGCTGGCTTTGCAATCTGGTTATCAGAGGACCAAAGGGCAAAACATTTTGCGTGCAGCTGGCATCTAAAGTCCTATTAACACTGGTTTACAAAAGTCACTGTTCATAAATATTTATTGCAGGAATATCTACCTATTATTTAAATAAGAGGTCAAGCAGCACTGTAAATACTGCTCAGTGGCTGAAACATGACTTTAACAACACATTTCATATGATAGTAATAATATGTATGTTAATAATATGCTTTAATAACAACCACTGCCCTGAAGGGACAGAGGAAGCTAAGGGATTTGTCTTTGAAAACTGATCCTCAGGGCTTGACCATCATATGCTAAGGCCGTTGTGGCGCTCCTGTAGAAATATAAAGAAGACTTTACATAAGCTGCCTTTATGCCTAGGCAGAGCCCGTTGAATCGATGTTAACTAAAGTGAAAAACCACACATTTAATTTTTTTTGTTGGTATTTCAAAGTTCTAGAAAATTCTGATATAAAGACATTAAACCATTTCATTTTGATAACGTTTGAGTCATCTCAGTTCTCTAACGTCAAAACATTATCACAGAACATATCAAACAGAGCATTAAGATATATTATATCATTGGAACAAAATCAGTACGGGAAACTGACATTCTTTACCTTGTTAAAATGATGTTTCTACATTGTCAAAACAAGCTTGGAAAAGTGAATTATTTTTTTCTTTTAAGTAGACACCTTCCTGCTAACCCTTTCATTTTTAACAAAATGTCATTCTCAGAAAGGAATATTCTTTTGTCAGAAATGTTCTCAACCATCACATGTTTTAAAGTACACAAGAATTAAACAAGGACCATGGTCTCCCAATATCTAAATGCCCAAGTGAGTCTAAATTCCCACATTCCTTACTCGTTCCCTTAAGTTAATTTGTACAGCTGTGATTTACACAGGCTGTAGCAGAAGACCTGCTTCCCATTCTTCCAAAGCAAGAATGCAAATCCCTCCTCCAGAAATCCTGCTTGAATAGGGCTTGATAACATCTTTCCAGGAAGAAACTCCTCTTTAAGCAATGGATTTTTAAACTTGTGACCTGCTCTATGTATTTATTACCCCGTTTTAGCAACACCTATGCAAGCTGCTAACCAATGCCTCCAAACCGGCAGACACATCACCCACATATTGCCCAGGCAGATTGCTCAGGAGCATGTGTGGTGCTCCTGGATCTGTTGATGCTCCTCATGCAATCCAAATGCTCTGAGGGTTGGTCCCTAAAGCCAAAATACCTTGAAGGGACATGTGGGTCCTAGTTAAACACTGACAGAAAGGACTAGAAGTCTAAGCAGGCTCTACCGATTTGCTGCTCCGCTTTGCGTAATTCTGATATTTAGCAACAGAATGGGCAGCAAGAGACAGGCAAAAGGAAAGGACAAGGAAATCCAGCCCTGGTATGGGCAAATATACAGGGTTCTGCTCTTCTGAAAACTCTGGTGCCAGTTCTAGAAGAAGAACATGTGAAAACTCAGCCCTGAGCAGGGAAGGACGTGGGTTCTGTCCGTCCCTGTGTCAAAGAGCTGTGTGGGCTTTTTCTCCTGAAAATAGTTCTACAGTCTCTATAAAAAGAACTTAGCCTCTGTGTTCCTGACATTTGAGTTCTATAAGGAGTATTTCCGAACTGCAGGGAGGAGATCCAGCTGGATGGGAGGTGAGAATTCAAGTGTGTTCCTATCAACAATCTGTAGCCAAGTTCTGAGAATTATGTTCTTTTCTGGTTTTTTTTTGCCCTCAACTAAATAATCTCACCAACAGGGCTAAAAAAAAGAATTTTAGTAAACGTCATGAAAAATTTGTGATTTGAGAGAAGTTGGTTTATTAGGCCTGACCAGTTTATTAGTTCCACCTAGCTGGTAGAATTGGTAAAGTTTTGAGATGCTCTGATAAGAACCCAGGAATGTTTTGCCTTCCATACGTAAATAACAGCACACGCTTTCAGTTTAGATAGTTTATGTCTGAGTCGGGAAAACAGCCACCAGAAAAGGAAGAATGAAACAGTGTAGAGTCTCCATGGAGGAGGCAGAAGAGTAAGTCCCTCAGCATCTAGACAGTCCACCTGAGTACTCTTTGGCAGGCAGACCCCAAATGTTTAGAGGTGCAACACCAGGTCTCAGCTATACAGAGCGTGATGTAAAGTGACTCTCAGCCCCTTTGTGCTGCTTTTGCATGCAAATACTCTACCATATCACTGCATTACCACAGTCTCTCCTCCTGCGTGTAATGCCACCAGAGATACCAGCCCAGCAAAGCTGCTGATGTGGACACGTGAATAGGAGGGCACCGAGCAAGTGATATCAGCATGTTTTTATCTTATGTTTCTGTATTTTTGCAGTGGTCTGGAGGACCACTAAATCACTCTTATGGTCCAGGGACACAGCCCAGCAGCCATAGGAAGAGTCTTTCAATGATGCTTGGCTGGATTTGCCATTCTCTCTCAACACTTTCCAGACAGTTGATGTAAACAAGCTAAAAATTTTGAAAATGAGGCTGTGAACCTCCTGAGAACATGTGTATGGGCTACACTGCCAGAATTATTTAGAGGAACATCTCTTATGTGACATATCGGTCCTTCTGAAGAAAAGTCCTGAAAACAGGACCAGCCACATATTTCTTTACCACAAATGTAAGATGACTGTGTTTTCCCTGCTCTCCTTGGTCAAATAACACATCAGATGCTCAGCTACAGATGTATGCATAAAGCATAAATTAAATCCTAGATATACAACAAGCCTTTGCACACTCTGTAGAGGAATTGTGGAAAGAGGGATCAAACCACCCTGAAATGCCTGGTTACAGTGAGCTGGCAGAGGGGAAAAGGTGCTGGCATACACTTTGGCTTTGGAGGACAGAAGTACTACATGGATGGCAGGGCAAAGGTGGAAGGTGGTGCATGGGGATGATGTGAATGGACATGGACAGCTTTATGGGAGACCTCCTTTTACTTAGCTACAAAGCCTGGCTTTGGCATCATCATCTTGTCCAGCAACAAGGTACCAACAGCTCCTTTCTGCGGATCTCACTGTCACACCCTGCTAAATTGTCCCTGAAGTCATAGAAGAAGTTATCCTCAAAAATCACGGACAGCCTAAGACATGATGGTAACACAATTGTACGCGTCAGCATTTAGGATCATGATTGTAAAAGGTTACAGAAGGGATTCAGGTTAATGGAGGTAATCTGTGATTATCTGATGTAAGAGATTGCTCTGCCA